TTTCCCTCAAATCATGCTTTACTTTGTCCCCTGAACCACCCACACTTTCCCTCAAATCATGCTTTACTTTGTCCCCTGAAGTTGGGGCCCAACTTGAGATTTTATTTCAGCCTGTGGGAGCAATGAAAACAGACACAGCGCGGTGGCTCACGCCTGTAATCCCAACACTTTGGGAGGCCGAGGCGGGCGGATCACAAGGTCAGGAGATCGAGACCACGGTGAAACCCCATCTCTACTAAAAATACAAAAAATTACCCGGGCACGGTGGCGGGTGCCTGTAGTCCAGCTACTCAGGAGGCTGAGGCAGGAGAATGGCGTGAACCCGGGAGGCAGAGCTTAGAGACTCCGTCTCAAAAAAAAAAAAAAAAAAAAGCAGACACAGCCAATGTGGTCCACGGCATTCCTTTGCATTTCTTTCTTTCTTTCTTTTTTTTTTTTTTTTTGAGACAGGGTCTCACTCTGTTGCCCAGGCTGGAGTGCAGTGGTGTGATCACGGTTCACTGCAGCCTCAACTTTGCAGGCTCAAATGATCCTCCCACCTCAACCTCCTGAGTAGCTGGGACTACAGGTGTGCACCATCATGCCTAGTTATTTTTTTCTATTTTGTAGAGATAGGGTCTCACCATGTTGTCAGGCAGATCTCAAATTCTGGGGCTCAAGCAGTCCTCCTGCCTCAGCCTCCCAAAATGTTGGGATTATAGGTGTGAGGCGCCACACCCAGCCTTTCCTTTGCATTTCTAAACTCTGGGAGCCAGATAGGTAGGGGGCTCATAAAGGAAGGACGAGTCTGGAAAAAAGACAGCCCCTGCCCGTTTCTTCCACCCTCGTAGTCACTGTTGTGATGAGTATCATCTTCAAACAACTCAGGCTTACCTGTCTTTTCTGTCCAAATCTGGTTTTGCTGTTCATTTGGCTGGGACCTTCACCCATCACTCTGACAGTAAAACAGCCCTGGATCCTGTTAGAGTGAATGGGGTTTGTGGTCCTCCATGGGTTTGAGCTTTTTTTTCTAGATGTCATGATTGCAACCAAAGTCATTCACAATCTCTCCTTGATACCCCCAGGCCTGAGACCCTCATTTCCCCGACTCACTGACCTGCCGTTCCCACAGATAAAACTGCCCCTTTTTCTCCAAGTTCTCAACAAGCTGCAACTGCCTTCTTTCATCGGCTTGTTGTTCAAAACCCATTTTTAGGCCAGGCGCGGTGGCTCACGCCTGTAATCCCAGTACTTTGGGAGGCAGAGGTGGGCAGATCACGTGAGGTTAGGAGTTTGAGACCAGCCTGGTGAAACACCGTCTCTGCTAAAAATACAAAAAATTAGCCAGATGTGGTGGTGTGTGCCTGTAATCCCAGCTACTCGGGAGGCTGAGGCAGGAGAATGGCTTGAACCCAAAAGGCAGAGGTTGCAGTGAGCCGAGGTCACATCATTGCACTGCAGCCTGGGCAACAACTGTCTCAAAAACAACAACTCTGTCTCAAAAACAACAACTCTGTCTCAAAAACAAAAACTCTGTCTCAAAAACAAAAACTCGGAAACTCTGTCTCAAAAACAAAAACCATTTTTAATCTAATGACAGGACATACATGTTAAAACAATTCAAACAGGTTGGGTGCAGTGGCTGACGCTTGTAATCCCAGGACTTACGAGGCCAAGGCGGGTGGATCACTTGAGGCCAAGAGTTCAAGACCAGCCTAGCCAACATGGCAAAACCCTGTCTCTATTAAAAACACAAAAATTAGCCAGGCGTGGTAGTCCACGATTGTAATCCCAGATACTTGGGAGGCTAAGACACGAGAATCGCTTGAGCCGGGAGGCAGAGGTGCCCATGTTGGCCAGGCTGGTCTCTAACTCCTGGTCTCAAGTGATCCACCCTCCTCAGCCTCCCAAAGTGGTGGGATTACAGGCGTGAGCCACAGTGCCTGGGCAACAAACCTTTCATTAGCTTGTTTTGTCTAGTATCTTATAGCCTTATAGAAGAGGTTTTAAAAATAATTTTTATAAATTTAATATGTGAATATTGAAAAACAACAATAAAATAATTCATTCCAATGGTAAAATAGAATTTTCCAGGTATCCCTGACTCGAATTCCTGACTTTCCTGTGATTTCATTCCATCACATTTCTTTGGAAGCAGAGTGGTGGGATGAAGGGGCAGGGTTTTGTTGAGAGTAGGTGGAAGTGAATGGGAAAGGCATTTATCACAACACTCTTTATGATGAAAAAAGAACATGGAAATAAACCCAATGCTGGTCACAAATAGGGGACCAGTTCAGGGCTGGGTGTGGTGGCTCATGCCTATAAATCCCAGCTCCTTGGGAGGCTGAGGTGGGATGATGCCTCAAGGCCACAAGTTCGAGACCAACCTGGGCAACATATCAAGACCCATCCCCCCATCTCTTTTTTTTTTTAAATACAGAGTTTCACTCTAACATCCAAGCTGGAGTGCAGTGTCATGGCTCACTGCAGCCTTGACCTCCCAGGCTCAAGTGATCCTCCCACCTCACCCTCCTGAGTAGCTGGGACTATAAGCACACACCACCACACCCAACTAATTTTGTTTTTGTAGAGATGTAGTCTCAAGGTATTACCCAGGCTGGTCTCAAACTCCTAGACTCAAGTCATCTTCTTGCCTTGGCCTCCCAAAGTATTGGGATTACAGGTGCAAGCCACCATGCCCAGCCAACCCCATCTCTCTCTCTCTTTTTTAATTGATTTATGTTTGAGATGGAGTTTTGCTCTTGTTGCCCAGGCTGGAGTGCAATGGCACGATCTCAGCTCACTGCCACCTCTGCCTCCAGGGTTCAAGTGACTGTCCTTGCCTCAGTCTCCCAAGTAGCTGGGATTTTTACAGGCACCTGCCACCATGCCCGGCTAAATTTTTATCTTTTTAGTAGAGACAGAGTCATCATGTTGCCCAGGCTGGTCTCGAACTCCTAACCTCAGGTAATCTGCCCGCCTCAGCCTCCCAAAGTGCTGGGATTACAGGTGTGAGCCACCACACCCAGCTTTTTTTTTTTTTTTTTTTTTTTTTCAGAGACAGGGTCTCGCTCTGTTGCCCAGGCTGGAGTATAGTGGCACAATCACAGCTCACTGCAGCCTTAACCTCCCAGGCTCAAGCAATTCTTCTGCCTCAGCCTCCCGAGTAGCTGGGACTACAGGCATGTACCACCATGCCTGACTAATTTTTGGTAGAGATGGGGTCTCACTTTGTTCCCCAGGCTGGTTTCAATCTCCTGGACTCAAGTGATCCTCCCACCTCAGCCTTCCAAAGTGCTGGGATTACAGACATAAGCCACTATGCCCAGTTGACACCATGTCTTTAAAAAAAAAAAAAAAAAAAAAAAATCTTAAGGAAACCAGTTCCATAAAATGTCAGCCTTGAATTCCCTGGGCTTCAAATATCCTCATCTGTAAATTGGCGATAGTAATAGAACCCACAATCTTCAGTTATTATGATTAAATTGGCCGGGTGCAGTGGCTCACACCTGTAATCCTAGCACACTGGGAGGCTGAGGCAGGCGAATCACTTGAGCTCAGGAGTTTGAGACCAGCCTGGGCAACATGGTGAAACCCTGTCTCTACCAAAAATAGAAAAATTATCCGGGCATGGTGTCAAATGCCTGTGGTCCCAGCTCCCGGGAGGCTGAGATGGGAGGACTGCTTGAGCCCAGGTGGCAGAGATTGCAGTGAGCCAAGATCATGTCACTGCACTCCAGCCTGGGTGACAGAGTGAGACCCCATCTCAAAAAAAAAAAAAAAAGATTAAATAGATTAACATATATAAAATACCTTGAACAGTACCCAGGACATTGTCTCATAAATATTGTTCTTGTTAACGTTACACGTTTGTGCAGTGAAATAGAGTCTATTCTTTATCAATCATGTTACAAAAGAGTATTTAATATTAAAAGACACTGATAAGCTTGTTACATGGACAAGGGAGATGCTGAGTCAATACAATACAGTGGGATCTTTCAGTGACTTTAAAACATTGTTCAATTGATTGTATTTGTTATAAAAATAGTGTGGAAAATAACAGCTTCGAATTTTATGTCAGTTGATGTTAAGATCCAACAGGAAGTTTACCCTTATAACGTTAAGATGAACAATTTGAAACACAGCTTCCTGCTGGAAGTTCAAATAGAGATGATTCAGATAGCCTCCTTGGATCCAAACCCCAAAGCTTATTTTGCCTAATTCTATCTTCTGTCTTTAGAAACTCAAGCCTCAAGCTTTCTGAGGGCATCCAAGTCCAACCATCCCAGTCACACACACATAACCGACCTTATTCATCCCAGGGGTGTGCAGAGGCCCACTGCAAGAACTGGTGAACTTTCAAGGCGTCTTTACATATATGATGATTTTTTATTACATTATTCAAGTTTTGCTTGGACAAGATTGTGCTGCTAAAAAGTGGCCTACACCACTTTTTTTTTTTTTTTTTTTTAAGACAGGGTTTCACTCCCGTCACCTAGGCTGGAGTGCAGTGGCGCGATCTTAGCTCACTACAACCTCCGCGTCCTGGGCTCAAGCGATCCTCCTGTCACAACCTCCCGAGTAGCTGGGACTGCAAGCGCCCGCCACCATACCCGGCTAATTTTTGTAGTTTTAGTAGAGACAGGGTTTCACCATGTTGGCCAGGCTGGTCTTGAACTCCTGGCCTCAAGTGATCCACCTGCCTCGGCCTCCCTAAGTGCTGGGATTACAGGCGTAAGCCACCGAGCCCGGCCCTACACCACTTTTAAAAGTCGTGTTTCTTCTCTTTTTTATAATGTACTTCTGATTTCTAGGGAATGATTCGCAAACTCACCCCTGACGCTATGTCCCTTAGACACTATCCTTCCATATACAAAAAGTGCCATTAACGAGTGGGTAGAACTCGAGGGGTGGAGCCTCCGTCCTTGGGCCTGAAGCGAATGTCCCTCAATGCGCCTGCGAGACTCCCACGCCCTGGGAAGGATGTCTATCGATTCGCTCTGGGCTCGGCAGCTCTTTCTGATAGCAGGCAGCCATCTTGCTTGGAGCCTGAGAAAGGGAGGAGAGACAGAAGGAACCGGCGACAGTGGTCTCAGGGCCGCTCCGGGGGGCCTCAAGAACCGGAGGCAGCCCCGGAGGTGGTTCCCGATCCCGGGCTATGCTCTTGGACCTGAGAAGGGAAGGCGGAGGGCGGCGGGGACAGGATGGATGGGGAATGTCAAGCAAGGAATGCTAGGCGGGGGAGGGGCGTTGCTATGGCGACTGGGGGGGGCGGTGTCTGTTCTGAATCGCTGTGTGTCACCCCGGCGCTGCCCAGGAAGGGCAGGGCTGGGGTGATGACCATGGTAACAGCCGGGTGGGAGTTCGTGACATCTCCGGCGCGGAGGGACTCGATGTCTATGGCAGTGGTCGCCTGGCGGACGGGACGAAACTAGATCCCTTCGCTCGGGACGCTCACATTCCAGGCCCTTGTCCTGCAGGCTTCCGCGGGCGGACACGCCAGAGGAGGAGGCCGGGGAATGGCCGCGGTGTGGCAGCAAGTCTTAGCAGTGGACGCGAGGTGAGGCGTGGGGTCGAAGCCCATGGGAGCAGAACTTACTGTGGTGCATGCGCAATGGCGATAAGTGAGGCTGGGCGGAGAACTTGCCTTAATGCGGCTGCGTGGGCATGCCGGAGGTGAGCATGCGCAGTAGCGGGGGCGGGCACGCCCGCGGTGAGTTGGCTGGGCCGGAGAGGAGTCTAAACAGCAAGCCGGGAAAGTGTGGTCAGATATAGGCATGCGCAACGACGCTGCCTGTGAGAGGGAGGTGGGGCTCAGGCTAGTGACATCCTATCCCCTATGGGTGTCCCCTGGACTTTTTTTTTTTTTTTACATCATCACTTCCCCATTCTGACCCCATCACCTCCCAACGCTGACCCCCTTAATGTCATTCTGACTTCTGTCGCCCTGGTATACCGACCCCAATTATTGTCTGCACTGACTCAGTCACCCCGTATGGACCCCAGCAGGGCAGCAGACTGACACTGTTGTCTGCAAACTGACCTCATGAACATGCTCATTATCACTGCAGACTCACTCCCACTGCAGGACCAAGAGGTCCCCCATCACCACTGCTAGTCATTCTAACCACCCAGGCCCCAGTCACTGCCACACACCTCACTCTCCTGCCCTATCTCCCGAGCTGATTGATTCCCTCTGTCCTGTGCCTGCTGCCTGCCCTGCATCCTGACCCTGCAGGTACAACGCGTACCGCACACCAACGTTTCCACAGTTTCGGACGCAGTATATCCGCCGGCGCAGCCAGCTGCTGCGAGAGAATGCCAAGGCTGGGCACCCCCCAGCGCTGCGTCGGCAGTACCTGAGGCTTCGGGGGCAGCTGCTGGGCCAGCGCTACGGACCCCTCTCCGAGCCAGGCAGTGCTCGTGCCTATAGCAACAGCATCGTCCGCAGTAGCCGCACTACCCTTGACCGCATGGAGGTGAGCTCCTGGCCACATTCACCCCCTGGGCATACCCTGCCTACACACATTCACTCCACTGACTTTCATCAAGCACCTGCTCTTTGCTGGGCACTGTTCTGCATCAGCAGAGGACAAAAATATAATATGCCAAGTAAATCAATAAACAGACAATAAACTTGGTAAACAGGTTAGTAAACATATAGCAAGCCCTGTCTTGAGTATCTGCTGAGCAGGGGGAGGGCAGGAACAGCAGAACTCATGAGGAAGCCACTGTACAAGCGGGCAGCGGTGGTGGTGGCAGGGGGCACGGTGAGAAGTGATCTGGCTCTAGGTAGATTTTCAGGGCTCCACACCTCAAAGGTTCTCGAGTTTTTTGCAGGATGCACCCACCCTGACCCTTTCCATTTGCAGGACTTTGAGGATGATCCTCGGGCCCTGGGGGCCCGTGGGCACCGTCGTTCTGTCAGCCGAGGCTCCTACCAGCTGCAGGCACAGATGAACCGTGCTGTCTATGAGGACAGGTATGCACAGAGGCAACCAAGGCTGGGGGTGGGTTGCGAGGAGGAGAGGGGCCCTGGGGCAATGGCAGACTGAACACTTTTGCATCTACCTCCTGTCACCCCTCACTTCCTATTGGGGCCCAGGCCCCCTGGCAGCGTGGTGCCCACGTCAGCGGCAGAGGCAAGTCGGGCCATGGCCGGGGACACATCACTGAGCGAGAACTATGCCTTTGCGGGCATGTACCATGTTTTTGACCAGCACGTGGATGAGGCAGGTGAGCCAGTGGGTGGCGGGTTCCATCACCAAGCATTTGCCCAAACTGTGACAACCAACCAAGGCATCCTTTTCTGAATCCAAGGCCCCTGGCACACCTCCAAAGGAGGAATGACCATCCGTAAAGCCTTTTGCAGACTGAAAATCCCTCTGCAAAGTGGTCTGCAGAGTCTCAGTGCTTCGTCTATTGGAAAGGGCCTCAGAAGCCTAAGAGAGCCCTTTGCAGCAGGCTGCCTGGGTTCCTGAGTCACTTGGAAGAGTTCAAAGCCTTTGCTGATGATAAATCCCCTTGCAGAGGGCAGAGTGGGCTACAGTGTCAAGGGTTTTGCAAACTGCCAAGAACTTGATTATAAAGTGTTCGCTAAGACAGGAACTTCCTCACATTGCAGAAGACTTGCAATCTGCAAAGGAGCTGCTAAGACTTAGGGAGTTTTGGCAGAGAGTCTTCTGGGGTTACAGTTCCCTTTGTCAGCCAAGGAAAGCCCTTTGCTGAGGCCACTGTGCCTCATGCCGTGGGGTCCCAGCCCCTGGCACACACGTCAGAGCCTTTTAGAGAGAAAAGTGCCCAATGAGTGTGCAGACTCCCACTAATGGCTTCTTGGCATTGCAGTCCCAAGGGTGCGCTTCGCGAATGATGACCGGCACCGCCTGGCCTGCTGCTCACTCGACGGCAGCATCTCCCTGTGCCAGCTGGTGCCCGCCCCACCCACAGTGCTTCGTGTGCTACGGGGCCACACCCGTGGTGTCTCTGACTTCGCCTGGTCCCTCTCCAATGACATCCTCGTGTCCACCTCACTGGATGCCACCATGCGCATCTGGGCCTCTGAGGATGGCCGCTGCATCCGGGAGATCCCTGACCCTGATGGCGCTGAACTGCTCTGCTGCACCTTCCAGCCCGTCAACAACAACCTCACCGTGGTCAGGCTCCAGGACACCCACTCATCAAGGGCTGATGGGCTGGGTCAGGAAGGCCATCTGAGGGATTCAGAGTATAAGGAGGGACAGCCAGGGGGGCCTAGGATCCCCCCGCACCCACCCAATCTCGTCACAGCAGTCCTAGTGTGGTCAGACTTAAAAGGGAAGCAAATCAGAAGACAGAGGAGTGGGCCGGGCGCGGTGGCTCACGCCTGTAATCCCAGCACTTTGGGAGGCCGAGGCGGGTGGATCACGAGGTCAGGAGATCGAGACCATCCTGGCTAACATGGTGAAACCCCGTTTCTGCTAAAAATACAAAAACTTAGCCGGGTGTGGTGACGGGCGCCTGTAGTCCCAGCTACTCGGGAGGCTGAGGCAGGAGAATGGCATGAACCTGGGAGGTAGAGCTTGCAGTGAGCCGAGCTGGCGCCACTGGGTGACAGAGCGAGACTCCGTCTCAAAAAAAAAAAAAAAAAAAAGGGGAGTGCCATTCTTGGTCTGGGATGGCCTTGCTGTGGTATACTCCAGGGAGCACTGGCCAGGGGCAGGGTTCTGGCTCTGGGGCCCCTTTGGTCCCATCAGCTGCAGTCCTACAGTTTTCCAACTGCAGGGGCTACCTCTGAGGAGCAGGATGATGAGGCTGAGCCTTGTCTGGTCTGTCAGTGGCCCCACCATGTCAGACTCCAGGGTAGATTGGTCAGAGAGCAGGGGAAGGACGTTAGAAAGTCTGGTGTAACCCGGAGTGGGGTGGGGTGAACTGCAGAGGAACCGACTAAGGGTGAGCTTGTGGGCCGGGATTCTCCCCACATCAGCAGCAGCCCCACAAGTTCCAGAAAGGAGCAGCCAGGGAGCAGGGGAAAGCTGGGATCACAGGCCTAGATGGGCCCTGTGGTTCTCACACTGTGGGAGGACCAACCAAGGGGCAGCATGATGGCTCCGAAGGCCCTTTAGTCCCATAGGCAGGTGGCCTACTCTGGGCAGATTGCAAAAGGGGCTGGCTAGGGAGGTGGATTCATGCCTGGTCACCTTGTCTACCTGCCACAGCCACACTGTGAATAGACTCAGGGACTAGCCAGTCGCATCAACAGCAGCCCCATTGTGGTCAGACTCAAGGAGGGCCTGGCTGGGAGCAGGATGATGGTCTGTGCATTCTCCCCACAGGTGGGGAACGCCAAGCACAACGTGCATGTCATGAACATCTCCACGGGCAAGAAAGTGAAGGGGGGCTCCAGCAAGCTGACGGGCCGTGTCCTTGCTCTGTCCTTTGATGCCCCTGGCCGGCTGCTCTGGGCGGGTGATGACCGGGGCAGTGTCTTCTCTTTCCTCTTCGACATGGCCACGGGTAGGCAGACAGCAGGCCTGCATCTGAGTGCTCGCCCTCCAGCCCTTCCAGGGCACAGCCCTCACCCTCGCCTTTGCCTTCCCTCCCTCTGCTGCTGCAGGGAAGCTGACCAAAGCCAAGCGTCTGGTGGTGCATGAGGGGAGCCCTGTGACCAGCATCTCAGCCCGGTCCTGGGTCAGCCGCGAGGCCCGGGATCCCTCACTGCTCATCAATGCTTGCCTCAACAAGCTGCTGCTCTACAGGTGGGTCCCCCATCAGGGCCTCCTGGAGATGGAGGGCCTGCCTCCTCCAGCACACTGGGACAGTAGCTCATCTCCTCCATCAGGTTAATTTAATTGAGGGAGCAGTAGTAGCAGTTAACAGTAATAGCAATAGTGAGCGCGTTTACAGCAATCACTGCAGCCAGGCCCGTTCGAAGCAGTTTCCACGTATCACCATATTGAATCCTTGCACCGACCTGTGAGGTAGGTGCCGTTATTATTTCCATTTTGCAGGCGAGCAAACTGAAGCATGAAATAGATTAGGGCTACCTAAAGCAGAGGCCTGTTTTCTTTTCTTTTTTCTTTTATTGTTTTTGTTTTTGTTTTTGCGGGAGGCAGTTTGGGGGTTACTGTCCCCACTCACATCTGTCATGTTGCCCAAATGCAGTTCTCAGCCTGGGCCACACATTGAAATGACCTGAAGAGCTTCAAAAACTCTTGCCCGGGCCCCTCTGCAGGCCAGTAATTTCAGAAGCTTTGGGATGGGCCTGGGCATTGGTAGATTGAGAAATTCCCTAAGCGATATCTAGCCAGGCCTGAAAACCACTGCCTAAGAGGATGCTTTTTATTCTACCCCTTTATTTCTCTCCTCCTTTTTAAACAATTTCTATATATACTTAAATTTTTTAAAATTTAAGTGTACCCTTAAGTTTGTACCCATTTCCCACAGCCTCTCCTTTCTTCCTTCTGCCACCTCTGGCCTCCTTCTGCCACAGTAAAGCCCATTAACGATCCACATCTTTCCACATATCCTTGTCTGTCTACAAATCCTAGGCGTGTACACATATCCACGTGTGTTTTTGTTTGTGAGACAGGGTTTTGCTGTTACCCAGATTGGAGTGCAGTGGCATGATCATGGCTCACTGCAACCTCCAATTCCTAGGCTCATGCGATTCTCCCACCTCAGCCTAAGTAGCTGAGATTACAGGCACACGCCACCATGCTCGGCCAACTTTTTAAATCTATTTTTTGTAGAGATGAGGTTTTGCTGTGTTACCCAGTCTGGTCTCGAACTCATGGCCTCAAGTGATCCGCGCACTTTGGCCTCCCAAAGTGCTGGGATTACAGGCGTGAGCCACCTTGCCTAGCTCCCACCACAGTTTTGAAGGAAAGACATTTTAAAGAAATGGCCTTTTCCGGCCAGGCACAGTGGCTCACGCTTGTAATCCCAGCACTTTGGGAGGCCAAGGCGGGTGGATCACCTGAGGTCAGGAGTCCGAGACCAGCCTGGCCAACATGGTGGCAAATCCCCTTCTGTACTAAAAATACAAAAATTAGCTGAGCTTGGTGGCAGGTGCCTATAATCTCAGCTACTCGGGAGGCTGAGGCTGGAGAATTGCTTGAACTTGGGAGGCGGAGGTTGCAGTGAGCTGAGATGGTGCCACTGCACTCCAGCCTGGACGACAGAGCCAGACTCCATCTCTTAAAAAAGAAAGAAAAAAGAAATGGCCTTTCCTACATTTCAAGTTTCTCACCATGCAATGCCTGGTGGCAACCCCCCAGGTCACCTGTGGGGACTGTGGTTTATTCTAAGGGCTGTGCAGTTTTCCACAGTGTGGGCATACCACAGTGTATTTATTTCCTCTCTTTGTGCCTGTCTTAACACCAGGATCTTTTAGAGACCCTTAGAAAGAAAAGCTAGTGAATGAAACTGCAGAGGCTCCCATTTATACCAACAGAGATGGTTTCTGAACCATCAGTAACTCACACGTCAGTCCCTATTTATAGTTTATGCAGTCATCTCAGAATTGGGTGTCATAAGCTGGGTGTGGTGTGTGCCTATAGGTAGTCCCAGCTACTCGGGAGGCTGAGGCAGGAGGATCACTTGAGCCTGGGAGGTTGAGGCTGCAGTGAGCCATGATCGCACCACTATACTCCAGCCTGGGTGACAGAGTGAGATCCTGTCTCAAAAACTAAAACAAAAAAAACGGGTTTCATGCACCTTGAAAAGAACTTAGGCACAGGGGTGGGGACATAGGCCCACAACTTGTCTCCCTGCTGGGGCTGTGTTTTGACCCGGTCTGTCCTCCTGTCAGGGTGGTAGACAACGAGGGGACCCTGCAGCTGAAGAGAAGCTTCCCCATCGAGCAGAGCTCACATCCTGTGCGCAGCATCTTCTGTCCCCTCATGTCGTTCCGCCAGGGGGCCTGCGTGGGTGAGTCCTGTAGGGACAGGGGATCTGGGTGACTGGGGAGGGGCAGGAGCCAGGGCTGGTGCCAACCTGGCTCAGACATCATGACACTCTGATGCCCTGACTTCCTGGGCCTCATGACCCCTCCTGCCCCAACAGCCTCACTCTGGGACTCACAGCTCCAAACAGCTCAGAGAACTCACAGTTTGCACTGGGTCTCAGCCAAAAGGCCGAGAAGTGATGAAAACTCACACACTTTGAACGCACTTCCCCCCAAACAGCCCAGAGACCTCGCACTCTGCACACAGTACCGAAACAGCCAGGCGACCTCCCATCTAGGGATGGGGCCCCCTCAAACCTCCCCAAGCCATGCTAGGACCTCACACCTCGGACATACACCCTTCAACACCTCAGACACCTCAGGGACTTCCCACCACGGGCACCCCAGGCGCCTCCCGATGGCCTCTCCCTCTCACCCCGACAGTGACGGGCAGTGAGGACATGTGCGTGCACTTCTTTGATGTGGAGCGGGCGGCCAAGGCTGCCGTCAACAAGCTGCAGGGCCACAGTGCACCTGTGCTTGATGTCAGCTTCAACTGCGACGAGAGCCTACTGGCCTCCAGTGACGCCAGCGGCATGGTCATCGTCTGGAGGCGGGAGCAGAAGTAGGGTCCTGTCAGCCCTGCTGCTGTCCTCCATCCCACCCCTCTTACTCCAGCCTCGTGTTGTAAATAAAGTTTCGGTGGTCATGCTGAGGGCCAGCTCCCAACTCTGCCAGGGACGGGCAGGGCAGCGGGCAGCTCCAGGAACACGGTGGAACGGGGTTCATTGACTCATTCGTGCATTCATGCATCGACGGATTCATTCATTCCACAAGCATTGATTGAATGTCTGCTGGGTCACAGGCACCGCCTTAACTGTTTTACACACTCATGCATTCGATAGACGTTAGTGAGCCCCGACCGTGTGCCAGGAACTGTTCTGGGCACTGGGGATACTGCTCTGACCTAAACTGACAGAAATGCCTGCCCTCATTGGGCTTGCATCATAATGGAGACAGTAGACAAAATTACGGAACAGGCCAGCTAATGATGAGTGGTGTGAAGAAAATAAAGCAAGGATGGGAGACAGAGCTGCAGAAGTTGGGGGAGTGGGCTCTTTATGGTGACAGCATCAGGGAAGATGATCCTGACAGGGTGACTTTTTTGTTCTTGAGACAGGGTCTCACTCTGTCACCCAGGTTGGAATGCAGTGGCATGACCATAGCTCACTGCAGCCTCAATCTCCGGGACTCAAGTGGCCCTCACTTAAGCCTCCCAAGTAGCTGGGACTATGGGTGTGTGCCACCACATCCGGGTACTTTTTGTATTTTTAGTAGAGACGGGATCTCGCCATGTTGCCCAGGTTGGTCTCGAACTCCTGGGCTCAAGCGATCCACTCGCCTCAGCCTCCCAAAGTGCTGGGATTACAGGCGTGAACCACCACACCTGGCTCAGGGTGACATTTAAATAAAGACTTGAATGAAGTGAGTGGGAGTCATAGTGTAGGGGGAGAACATTCTAGGCAGAGAGAAAGCCAGCCTAAAGGCACTGAGGCTAGAGCGCTCCAGAGGGATCATTGTGTATGCCAGAGTCTTGCTGGACCAGAGTGTGACAGTAGAAGAGGTCAGACAGGCCAGGTGCTTCGTGGGCCACAGTGAGGACTTTGGCTTTTTTTCTGAGTGGGGGTGACCAGAAGGTCTCAATCAGAGGAGGGATATGATCTGACTTGGTCATAGAGGCTCCCTCTGGCTGCTGAAGGGAACAAATTGGGGGTGGGCGTAGAAGCAGGGGACCCAGCAGGAGACCCCTCTGAGCGCAGTGATGGGGACTTGCACCAGGGTAGTGACAGTGGAGGAGTTGGCAGGGAACGTTGGGTTGGACCCCCAGCGGGTTCACCATGTTAGGCTGCAGGACTCTGCTGCCTCCTTAGGGGGCGATATCCCCAGACTCCTCCACACAGCAGCCCTTGCCTGGGCTCCACCTCTCTCTCTGCATAGTGTTGTTTCTTGAAAGCAGGGAGCAGACGTGTTGGGTCCTGGAGCCCCAAGCTGGTGCGGGAGCAACTGGAAGTTAAGGCTGACCTGGGGCCTCCTGCTGTGTGGTGGAATCTCCATCCCTCAGACCACCCTTGTCTCCTCCCAGCCCCATTCAGGGTGCAAATTCCAGCCCTGGAACAGCTTAGAGACCAAAAAGTGATGTTAAGTATTTGAGGGGAGCCCCGAGAGAGGAGAAAAAGGTTTGAGTATTGATGGGGGTAAATAACCAAAATCGCTTATCAGTGGCCTGTGTCACCAGAAAATGTCAAAGTTACCTGAAGCGGCAAAGAGGCTCTTGCTCCGTCCCCTCCCTTCCTCCTCAGCTCCATTTGTTGCCACATATGCGTTGACTGGAACTGCGACTGACATCTTGGGACCTTAGGGTCAGTCCACAGCTTGGTAGAGACTCCAGCTTGGTCCAGTGTTGCTGAGCTGCTGAACTCGCACCAACAGTCTTGTTGGAGGGAAATAATCTCCCGTTTGTTCAGTCCAGTTATTTGACAGTGTGGTTACTTTTACCCCAAGCATTTCTATCTGGCACTTCCATTTAATAGACCTCAGGGTACATGGTGGTGAGATAGGGACATCAGTGAGCTAGATTGTTCCCGTGGTAAAGGTCATGTATGTGTGTGTGTGTCATGGTCCCCAATACCAGTCCCAGGCCCAGTGATTTGCTAGGAGGACTTCCAAGACTCAGTATGTGGTTGTATTCATGGCTATGATTGATTGATTACAACAAAAAGATATAGAGCAAAATCAACAAAAAGAAATGGTGTGCAGGACCAACTCCCAGAGAGACCCAGTGACAAGTTTCCAGGGCTCCTCTCTCATTGGAGTCACAGAAGATGTGCTCGGTTCACAGTAATGGGTTGTGACAATACATGCGAAATGTTGCCAACCAAGGAAGCTCAATTAGAGACTCAGCACCCAGAAGTTTTTTTTTTGTTGTTGTTGTTGTTTTGTTTTGTTTTGGGGGGCGGGTCTTGCTCTGATGCCCAGGCTGGAATGCAATGGCGTGATCTCGGCTCACTGCAGCCTCCACCTCCTGGGTTCAAGCGATCCTCGGGCCTCAGCTTCTCGAATAGCTGGGACTACAGGCGCACACCAGCAAGCCCAGCTAATTTTTCTATTTTTAATAGGGATGGAGTTTCACCATGTTGGCCAGGCTGGTCTTGAACTCCTGACCTCAAGTGATCCTCCCACCTCAGCCTCCCAAACTGCTGGGATTACAGGCGTGAGCGCCTGGCTGATATCAAGTTTTTACTGGGGTATGGTCACACAGGCACCCCCTGCCTGGCACCTACCCAAATCCCAGACTCCCAAAAGGAAAGCAGGGGCTCAGCATAAACCACCTTTTTAAATTATTATTATTGAGACGGAGTCTCGCTCTGTCGCCAGGCTGGAGTGCAGTGGTGCGATCTCGGCTTACTGCAACCTCTGCCTCCTGGGTTCAAGCAATTCTGCCTCAGCTTCCTGAGTAGCTGGGACTACAAGCGCGTGCCACCATGCCCAGCTAACTTTTGTATTTTTAGTAGAGACGGGGTTTCACCATATTGGCCAGGCTGGTCTCCATCTCTTGACCTTGTGATCCGCCCACCTCGACCTCCCAAAATACTGGGATTACAGGCGTGAGCCACTGCTCCCAGCCCACTTTTTAATACAAACAGCTTAGGTAGAGTAAGCCATTCTTTTTTATTTTTTATTTTTTTCTTTTTTTGAGACAGGGTCTCACTTTGTTGCCCAGGCTGGAGTGCAGTGGCTCAAACACGGTTCGCTGCAGCCTCAACCTCCCAGGCTCAAGCGGTCCTGCTGCTTCAGCCTCCAAAGTAGCTGGGACCACAGACATGCACCACCACAACCCCAGCTGATTTTTGTAGAGATGGGTTTCACCATGTTGCCCAGGCTGGTCTTGAACTCCTGGGCTCAAGTGATCCTCCCACCTTGGCCTCCCAAAGTGCTGGGATTACAGGTGTGAGCCACCACGCCCGGCCAGAGTGAGCCGTTCTTATCTCTTAGGGAATGGTGGGAACCCTCCTGGAATCTATGTTCCTAGACACCAGTCAAGGGCCAACCTTGAAGCAGGCCTTTCCAAAGATCGCAGTTGAGGCCTGCTCTGTTACTGTTTTTCTGCACAGTATGCAACACCACACAGATGCCCAGTTTCCACCAAGGTCTGTGGATGGCAAGATAATTTTGAGGAACCTCCTTTTTCGCTAACATTTTTCTTCTTTTGTTTACACTCTTCACATTCTCTATTGAGTCTAGATTCAAGATGATTGATCATGAATATTGTTGTGCATGATTTTGGGGGTCTCCTCTTTGTGAAATTTTGAGGTGGCAGATTTGACATTCTACTTTAAACTCATCTTGGTGGTACTTTTCTTGACTCACCACCTAAGGGGGAATAGATAATGCAGAAAGAATAAAAATAGTGTTATCAGTCGCATTTGGGCCTCGGTTAACTTGTCCAGCATCACTGGTTTCACATCAGATCTGAAGCTCTGTCAACCATTCCACTATCAATGCCACTCTGGTCTTGCCTCAAATCGAGGCTTTGATTAATTGTTCCCTGCCCTTTGTCTGACTTTGAACCTGTGTGTTTGTCAACTACTTCACCATCAAGAGCCTCTCTGGGCCAGGCGCGGTGGCTCATACCTGTAATCCCAGCACTTTAGGAGGCCAAGGCGGGCAGATCACGAGGTCAGGAGATCAAGACCATCCTGGCTGACACGGTGAAACCCCGTCTCTACTAAAAATACGAAAAAATTAGCAGGGCGTGGTGGCAGGCGCCTGTAGTCCCAGCTACTCAGGAGGCTGAGGTAGGAGAATCGCTTGAACCCGGGAGGCGGAGGTTGCAGTGAGCCGAGATCGCGCCACTCCACTCCAGCCTGGGCGACAGAGGGAGACGCCGTGTCAAAAACAAAAAACAAAAAAACAAAAAAAATGGCTGGGCGCAGTGGCTCACGCCTGTAATCCCAGCACTTTGGGAGGCCGAGGTGGTGGATCACGAGGTCAGGATATCGAGACCATCCTGCCCAACATGGTGAAACCCCGTCTCTACTAAAAATGCAAAAATTAGCTGGATTTGGTGGCGTGTGCCTGTAATCCCAGCTACTCAGGAGGCTGAGGCACGAGAATAGCTTGAACCCAACAGGCGCAGGTTGCAGTGAGCCAAGTTGCGCCACTGCACTCCAGTCTGGTGACAGAGCGAGACTCATCAAAAAAAAAAAAAAGCCTCTCTGGTCTCAGAACGAAGCTGGGCCTTTGTTAACTATTACCCCACTGGTGTACCACTGGTCAAATCTCAAACCAGGGCTACTGTATAATATTTCACTAGCAATTGACTTCTGATCTGACCTTGAACTGAACTTGGGCTTCTATTGACTACTGTATTTTGTGATCAGCGCCCTTTTGCTCCATTCCAACCTCGAGGACCCTCAGTCCTGACCTTGCATCTGGGCCTCTGTTAATTATTTCACCACCAATGCCCTTATGGTGTCAATTCCAATCTGCACTTCTGTATTAATGGTTATACCACTGGTTGGGCACAGTGTCTCACGCCTGTAATCCTAACACTTTGGGTGGCCGAGGCAGGCGGGTCACCTGAGGTCGGGAGTTTGAGACCAGCGTGACCAACATGGAGAAGCACCGTCTCTACTAAAAATACAAAATTAGCTGGGAGTGGTGGTGCATGCCTGTAATCTCAGCTACTCAGGAGGCTGAGGCACGAGAATAGCTT